ACAGATGGCGAAGATCGGCTCCGCTCTCGCGCAGGCGCAGGGCTCTAGCACGGCGCCGTCCCCGCAAAAAGGAGTCGAACACCCGGGGCATCCAGCTTGGCAGTGAAGACCTCGCCGAAGCTCTGACTGGCGTTATCGCGCGGGCAGAGGACAAGGGCGACGCGAGGTTGCAGAACACGGCTCGGAAGCTGAGCGAATTCTTGAGCCACCCGGCCAGCCAGACCAGCCCGACCCCCCCACAGCCGGTGACGGTCAGCCAGGGCCCGCTCGGACCCGGGATCCTTCCGCGGGGGAGTGCCGAGGACTTCGCGGCCGCCCAGGCCGCGGCAGTGGGGGGGTCCCCAGCCTTTAAAAGACTCCGCGCTGACGTTGGCCTTCTCGCCAAGGAACAGAAGCAGCATAAGACCGCCATCGCCGAGATCGAGAGCACCACCCAGGAGACCAGCGCCGACATCAAGAGGCCCCTTGGCATGTTCAGCGCCCGTTTTGCGAACGACGGCCACCCTGCTGGCCCCGCGCCTGGCGGCGATGACCAGAGCTTGGCTCTTTTCTCTCCGACGGTGACGGAAGCCATTCACGACGAGGCCATCGGATACGTTGGCATCGCGAGTGCACGACGTGAAGCAGGTGACTGCCGTAGCAAGCTCCCGCTGCCCTTCAAGATCTGGTGGGGCACGATCGGGGCACTAAAAGGGGTAGCCCAGTGGAAGACGAAGCTCACCAACCTTGAGTGCCCAGAGGAGCAGCTAGTCGACGCGCTGACGAAGCAGGATGTCGGACAACTCATGTACCAGTACTTGAGGGAGGACGGGACCTGGGCCGAGGAGGAGATGTAGGAGTTCCCCACCAACTGAAGTGCCATCCCCTCCTCCACGCCTTGGTGGGGTGGTCTCTTCTCTGAAGTATCACCCGCGTCCGTTTGGAAGCTAGTGCTGATTTTGTGCGCAGTCTTTGCAGGGTTTCAGATTTGCTTGGTGGCTCTTGGGATTCGGACGCTCGTTCTAAACGGTGCGTCGAAGCTTCTTGAGGCCACCTTGTCTTTCGTATGCAGCAATTGGCAACATTTCCTCATGTCTTTTATATGGGGACAGGTCTGGTCCAGTGTTTCCTCTTCTGTTGCTGATCCAATGTTAGAGGATGTTGGGGACTATGGTGAGTGGGATGAGTCGCCCGCCACGCCCAGCAAGTGCTCCGCCAGCTTTGCGTCTTCTGCTGTTTTCTCTGCACTTGTCTTCATCGTGCGCCGCTGCCGTGGCCACCGCATATAGATGAGACAGACGACGCCACGAACGTGCACGCGCGAGCTCCCCTGCTTCGTTTGACGGGCCAGATACTATGTACCCCGCCCTGAATTTGAAGGGGGGCTTGTGTGTGTGTGTATGTGTGTGTGTGTGTGTGTGTGTGTGTGTGTGTGTGTGTGTGCGTGTGTGTCCTTGTAGTCATGTACAAGCTGATTACATGTAGCAGAATTGCACACTAGTGAGTTTCATGCGATTGTGTAGGTAAAGATCTGGGGATAAGATCTTGGGGTAAAATCGCCGCCAGGAGCACTCAATACATGTTTTGCTTTACCGCTGTTTCTCAGGCTCGGGCCGTTCCCCGTTGCCACACGGGCCGAGGAGCTAGCAGCAGTGCGCGTTCAAAGAGACCCCTCGAGCGCAAACGGCCTGCCATGACCAGAGTTTGATCCGACCTGGAGGTACAGCTGCTGGATTGGATATTCTCTTCACCATCGTGTGTGTGTGTGTGTGTGTGTGTGTGTGCGTGTGCGTGTGCGTGTGTGTGTGTGTGTCGCCAAGAACCCACAGCGTCACCACCCTGAATTCTGCAAAGGTTTCGTACATGACCTCAGCGAGGTCAATCACGACGTGCGCAGACTTTGCTGGACGAAAGGCCTACCAGTCGATTGGCACGCGGAGTGGTATCGCGAACTTGACAAGCGGAGGCACAGCTCTGAACCCGCGAAAAGCAAAGGGAAGGCTGCTCCGCCGCACGGGAAAAGGAAGCGACCAACGGATTCTTCCTTGCCTAGCAGCGACCCTTCCCGCCAGCGCGGGTCAGCTTCAAGCAGTCACCGCTGGTAGCGTTCAGCCGCCCTATTACTTCGTCCTGTACTGAGCGTGACATACCCGCCCTGGCAGTGGCCTCTCTGGCTGCTGGCCGCTGCCCTCCCCCTCCTTGCCTCCGTGGTTTTCTCACATCGTGCACTTATTCGGTGCCCCCCCCGCAGGCCCCCAGCCCTCGCTCGGGGCCTGCCCGGCACCCTCTCCTCCCTGCCCTCGCGGCAGCTTTTCATCGTGCACCTGCTCGGTGCCCCCCCCCCCCCCCCCGCAAGCCTCCAGCCGTTCGAGGCTTGCCTTCTTCTCACGTCCATGCGTGGGTCCCGCCAGCGCCTGAGCCGACGTTTGGCCCGTTCCCATTGTTGCCGCCCTCTCCGGGTTGGCCCTGTCACAGCAGGCTGGCCGCCGCTGCCCCCTGCCTCTTGGGGCGCTGGCCTTTTGCAGGTTTTGTCCAGGCCCTGCCTGCGGCACCCCTCTGGCCCTTGCCGTGCTTCGCCGGCCAGGCAACACTCGCTTCGGTGCCTGTCCCCCTCCCCTTCTGCTTGGTTTTCTGGCCACTTTCCCAGCACGGGATACTTGTGTCTGGCCGCTGTCGCTCCTTTGGCACCTCGCCCATGTCGGCTGCTGCTCAGTTGGCTCTCTGCCACTGGGCGTGGCCTTCCTGCCCGCCGCCGGCTGGCGTTCGTGTTCGTCGCCCCTCCTACCCTCGTTTTGCCTGCCCTGGGCCCGCCGCTCCCCCACTTGGCGGTGCCCTACTCCTTCCTCGCCCTGGGTGCCGCACCGCCGCACCGCGCCCCGCCGGGCCGTCCCTCCTTCCGCGCTTTCCTTGCTCTGCCTGGTTTCGGCGCTTCCCACCGTTGCCGATGTCGGGGTTCCTTCCCGTCGGCGCGGGTCGAGGTTCTGGGCGCTCGTCTTTCCCGCCCTTCCGCCGCCTTTCTTTGGCCGCTCTCGTTCTGCTCTGCCTGAGCGGTGCCACCCCGGCCTTCCGCCCCTTCCGCCCGCGCCTCGCAGACCCACAGGCCTCGGCGGTTTGACTCATCCTTGGATCGCCCCTTAGTCCACTGGGTCGGGACCGCCCCCATGGCTGCCCTTCCCCTGCTACTGTTCCGTGCCGCTCGGCACCTTCTTCAGCCACCTCCAGATCTGTGCCGTCCAGCACCCGCCCTTGTGCCCGCGGCGCAGTGCTGGCAGCTGGGGTTGGTCCGTCTAGGCCTTCTCCACATCCCCGCACGCGCCTCGCAGGCTCGTCGGTCTCGGCGCGTTGAATCATTCCTGGATTGTGCACCTGGTTGGGCTACGTTCGTTTTCTCTTGACCACCAGCTGCAGCTCCTGGCTGCCCCCCCCCAGAGAGGCGCCGCGCCCTGGCCTGACTGAAGGGCTGCACTTGATTGAGTGGCCCCCGCTCGTCCGTAGTCGGCCGCCCCCGGGACGTTGGCTATTGACGTTGCGAAGCGGCGCGCAGAGAAAGAGAGAGAAAGAGAGAGAGAGAGAGAGAGCGAGAGAGCGAAAGAGAGAGGAATCCATATGTACACATATATATATATATATATATACAGAGAGAGAGAGAGAGAGAGAGAGAGAGAGAGAAAGAGAACGAGAGAGAGACAGAGAGAGTGAGAGGTAGTGTCACACACATACCATTGTATATGTATATGTATATATGTATATGTACATGTATATGTATATGTATATGTATATGTATATGTATATGTATATGTATATGTATATGTATATGTATATGTATATGTATATGTATATGTATATGTATATGTATATGTATATGCATATGTATATGTATATGTATATGTATATGTATATGTATATGTATATGCATAGGTAAATGTATATATACATGTATATATACATATATATATATACATATATATATATATATATATCTATTCAGACACATCTATATAAACATATATATAGTTATATCCAGACACATCTTACACACATTATACAAACACATACTCATATACACACATATATATAACATATTTCCATGCCTCTACGTTCGCCTCTCCTCCCTGATGTTTTGCAGGAAACGCTTTTGAAACGCCTGGCCTCATGGGACGTTGGTTTTTCTGTTGCGAACTGGGCTTCCCTTCGGGACCTGGTCAAGGATGGCGGCCCGACTTCTGGCAAAGCGCAGTTTTGAAAACTGTGGTCGGGGGCTGGCTCACCAGTGACCGACTGCATAGTCCCGAGGTTCGTGGCTGTAGATTTCAGTGTGTTGGTTGTCGGGATGACACGTCTCACTATGTTCGGTGTCCGGTTTTGTGGGGCCTCGTATACCACCCAGGTGAGCCCCCCGCTGGTCTCGCCACGCGCCGTGGCCTTGCTGGGTCACCGACGCAATAAGAGGTGGAGAGAGTTGTTCGTGCATATCACATGTATAATGTTGTTCGCACGGCTCCTGACCCTAGTCCTCTCGATTCCGAGGCTGCCAGAAACCAGGTCCACTATGCTATCCGCAGGGCTACACAGGCCCTTGTAGACCACTCTCGGGCGCCCTTCTAGTCTTAGTCGGACGTTTCGTGATCGACAATCAAAGTACGAGGGATCTCATAGTTCCATGCGAGTACACACGTATGTAATTACTGGCCGCGGCGTGCGGTCGTACGATCTTGCAGGCACCGAGCGACGCAAGACTGTCTTGCAAACCCAGAACTCGTTTGACAAGGCACATGTCCATGTGATGGCCCGCTCTTTGACTCCTCCTTTCCATCGCCCTTCTCATCCTCGTCTTGCTGCTTCTTCTCGCCTCATCATGTGATTCCTTCTTCTAATTACGATTGGTGCTCTTTCTCCTTTCTTCCTCCTCGCCCTCTTCCCACGTCCTTGTCCACATCCCCTCTCTTTCCATTTTGCCCCGTCCAAGGCCCTGTTCCCCCTCGCTCTACCTCTTGCCCCTCCGCCCGACGGATCGCTGGGAGGACGGCATCATCGTGAATTATGAGTCAGGAAGATTCGACGTGCAGGTTCCTCGGGGGGGAGGAGAGGAGAAGAGATTGCTGTATTGGGGAAGAAGCTGACTCCGAATCATACGATAAGAAGACTTCACAACCAGGCCTCAGTTTTCCTGAATGTCGGGGGCCGGCGGTGTTCCAGGTGGCGTCTGTTTTCGGTGGCGTTCCGTGCCGCGCCGTGCTGCGCTGTGCCGTAGGGCCTTCGGATAATCGAATTCTACACGCATCGCGTAGCCCTACCAGCCCATCTAGAAACGATGCCCAGGCGAGTTGCCCTGATCAGGTACGTGGGGGAGCACGCAGTGACATACAGGCTGGGAAGCTGTCTTACCCCAAGAGGGGGAGGATGGATGAGAAACCATCGGAGGAGGAGGAGGAGGAGGAGGAGGAGGATACATAATATGAGGAGGAGAAGGCGGAGGAGGAGGAGGAGGAGGAGGAGGAGGAGGAAGACAAGCTAGGTGCGCTCGCGCCATATCTGACGTCCTACCCCTCCCTCCCATCCCTTACCACGGCGTAGACCTCCTCTCTATTCGCACAATCGGATGTCATAGAATTGCATAGCATTACATGGCATAGCATGGTGTCGAAGATCAACGCGTAGCATGACATAGCATAGCGTGGCGACGCCCCAAGGTGGGGGGGCTTCTGCGGCCCCAGAAATCAACGAATCGACACCGAATGTGTAATTACTTCCGATGGTGTTTTCGGGGGTGCATTTTCTAAATTCTTTACGCTTCGCGTATCCCCACCAGCCCATCTCACAGCAGCAACTCTCGCGAAGCATGCCGACAGTCGTGTTTTTCAGGCGTGTGTCTGCTTGGCCCCGCATATCTCCCCTGTTCCTCCTTCCTCCCGCCTCCTTGTACATCCTCCTTGTGAGGTGAGGCGTTTGGGCACCTCGTCCGCGTGCGAGTTGTTCGGGCCCTTCGTAGGTGGAGTCGTAGTAGTAGTAGTAGTAGTAGTAGTAGTAGTAGTAGTAGTAGTAGTAGTAGTAGTAGTAGTAGTAGTAGTAGTAGTAGTAGCAGCAGTAGTAGTAGTAGTAGTAGTAGTAGTAGTAGTAGTAGTAGTAGGTAGTAGTAGTAGTAGTCGGTAGTAGTAGTAGTAGATAGTAGTAGTAGTAGTAGTAGTAGTATAGTACGGTAACTATAGCAATGAGTATAGTATCAGCAGTACTAGTAAGTAGTAGTAGTAGTGCAGTAGCATGAGTGTGGTATTCTAGTAGTAGTAGTAGAAGTAGCACGACACTAGTAGTACAGCGGCAGTGGAAGTGCCGTCGTCGTAGAAGTCGTAGTGCTCGGGTAGTACTACCACGAGTAGCAGTCGTATCAGTAGTAAAGTAGTACACTAGTAATAGAAGCATTAGTAGTATAGTAGTCGTAGTAGTAGTAGTAGTAGTAGTAGTAGTTGTTGTTGTTGTAGTAGTAGTAGTAGTAGTAGTAGTAGTAGTAGTAGTAGTAGTAGTAGTAGTAGTAAGTAGTAGTAAGTAGTAGTAAGTAGTAGTAAGTAGTAGTAAGTAGTAGTAAGTAGTAGTAGTAGTAGTAGTAGTAGTAGTAGTAGTAGTAGTAGTAGTAGTAGTAGTAGTAGTAGTAGTAGTAGTAGTAGTAGTAGTAGTAGTAGTAGTAGTAGTAGTAGTAGTAGTAGTAGTAGTAGTAGTCGTAGTAGTAGTAGTACTATCTCCGAACAGCAATCCCAGCGAAGCATGCCGACAGTCGTTTGGTGCAAGCGTGTGTCTGCCTGCCTTTGCATATATCCTCTGCTCCTGGTGGTGTGAGTCGTTCGAGGCCCGCGTCGTGGTGTGAGTCGTTCGGGCTCCTCGTGGTGTGAGTCGTTCGGGCGCCTCGTTCTGGTGTGAGTCGTTCGGGCCCCTCCTTGTGGTGTGAGTCGTTCGGGCTCTTCGTGGTGTGAGTCGTTCGGGCCCCTCGTCCTGGTGTGAGTCGTTCGGGCTCCTCGTGGGGCCTCTTGGGGGCCTCTTGGGGGCCTCTTGGGGGCCTCTTGGGGGCCTCTTGGGGGCCTCTTGGGGACCTCGAGGGACCTCTGGGGGCCTCTTGGGGGCCTCTTGGGGGTCTCTTGGGGGACTCATGGGGCCTCTTGGGGGCCTCTTGGGGACCTCTTGGAGGCCTCTTGGGAGGCTCCTGGGGGCCTCTTGGGGCCATCTTGGGGCCTCTTGCGACCTCCTCAGAAGCGCAAAGGAGCGCTGCCCCTTGAGAAGGACAAAATGAGCCCCAAACCTTCGTAAAATCAATGATTTTGCTATGAAGGAAGATGAGCGCGGCCCCCTCAGGAGACCAAAATCGACCCAAAACCGTAGTAAAATCAATACTTTTGGCTTGAAAGAAGAGGAGATGGGCCTATCTCCCCCCCCCCGTCGGGGCCAGAATCCTCGTGAGGGTTGTTGTTTTTTAGCCCTCCCAGGAGTCGGAAAAGACCCCTCCAACGACCCGCGGAACCCCCTCTCCAGGTCCAGGGGGAGGGGGTAGGGGGAAGAAGGGGGGTTGAGAACAGAGAGAGCTCCCTAAACCACTCACGCCCAAAGGGCTGGTGGGATTTTTGGGGCCTATTTGGAAGGACCGAGCACCATGCCGGGGCATGGCGCTGGAAATGATGACGCCAACGCTGCAGCGGGCGCACGATTCGGAACGAGCGGAAGCGCGGAAATGAGGCCACCGCTGCAGCGGGAGCACGATTCGGAACGAGCGGTAGCCCGAAAATGAGGCCAGCGCTTCAGCTAGAGCAGCATTGTGGAAAAAACCCAACTCCCGGGAATCCTGTGTGTAAACAACCAATGCGCGGAGGGTGGCCGGACAGTCCCCAGACGCCACCAGGGGAGAGAGGAGAGTAGTATTAATGTTTGGTAATTGTGGAACAGGAGGAGGAGGGGGACGAGGAGGAGGAGGAGGAGGAGGAGGAGGAGGAGGAGGAGGAGGAGGAGGAGGAGGAGGAGGGAGGAGGAGGCGGAGGAGGAGAGGGGGGACTTTGAAAATGATGAAGAGGATGAGGCAGAGGGGAGGGGGAGGAGGAGAAGAGAAGGAGAGAGGAGGAGAGGACAGGAGGAGGAGGAGGAGGAGGAGGGAGGAGAGGGAGAGAGGAGCAGGAAGGAGAGAGAGATGAGGACGGAGAGGGGGAGAGGAGGAGGTGGAGAGGAGGAGGAGGAGGAGGAGGAGGAGGAGGAGAGGTGGAGGAGGAGGGAGAGGATAGAGGAGGGAGTGGGGGTGAGGGAAGAGGAGGATTAGGCAGAGGAGGAGCAGGAGGAGGAGGAGGATGAGGGGGACGAGGAGGAGGAGGAGGAGAAGGAGGCGAAGGAGGAGAAGGAGGAGGATGGCGAACAGAAAGGCCAAAGGCCTCTTGGATGTCTCTCGGAGAGTCTTCGGATCTCTCTTGAGAGCTTATTGTAGGCCTCTTGGGGGCCTCGCGACGGTCACGGGGGCCTCTTGAAGCGTCTTGGGTGCCTCTGGGGAGCCTCCTAGGGGTCTCTTTGGAGTTTCTTAGGGGCCTCTTGGAGGCATCTTTGGGGCACCTTGGGGGCCCCGTGGGGCCTCATGGGCGCTTCGTGGTGCCCTCGTAGGGCACTCTTGTGTCTTGGGGCCATCTTGGAGGAGATCGATCAAACGAGAGGCCGTAGTAATTTTTTGACGCTGTGCTTGTCCCCACCAGCCATCCAAAAACGATGCCCAGGCGAGTTGCATCTCATACTCTCCTCGGATGTCTCTTGGACGCTTTTTGGAGGCCTCTTGGAGCGTCTTGGAGGCATCTTGGCGGTCCTGGGGGCCTCTTGGACTCTCTTGGGTACCCCGGGGAGCCTCTTGGGGCCTCTTGGGGGTCTCTTGGGGGCCTCTTGGAGGCCTCTTGGGCGCCTCTTGAGGCCTCCTGGGCGCCTCTTGGGGCCCTCTTGAGGCGCTCTTGGGAGCCTTGGGAGCGCTCTTGGAGTCATCTTGGAGGAGATCGATCAACAAGGATGCACGCTCCAATTATGCTTCCCCCCTTGGGAGCCCCAAACATCGCCTCTTGGGTCACTCTTCGGCTGCTCTTGGGGCGCTCTTGAGGCCGTCTTGGGGCTCTCTTAGGCTTCTCTTGGAGCTTCGGAAGGCAGTCGGAAGCGAAAAGGCGAGAAGGCACACATCAGGGATTTTCCCCAGGTTTGGCCTCTTGGCGGCCTCCTGGGGGGGCTCCGTGACCACTCGGAGCCGTCTTGGAGCTGCTTTGGGACCTCCTGGAGCATCTTGGGAGCCATATCGAGCCATCTTGGGCTATCTTGGGCCGTCTTTGAAGTCATCTTGGGCTCTCTGAGGCCCTCTTGGAGCCGTCTTGGGCCATCTTAGATGCATTGACCGCTCGCGGGGCGCCCCCTCCAGGTCCAGGGGAGGGGGTAGGGGGAGGGGGTAAGGGGAGGGGTCAAGTTACCCCCTCCCCGCCCGCAAGCCGTCTCGCTCACTCCCACCCGCCCTCCCGACACATACGTAGCACCCGAGCCTGGCCCGAGCCTCAGCATATTCAGCAGTGGTCTTTGGATGGCCAGCTACTGGGGGCCAATCCGCCGCCGCCGCCACCGCCGCCGCCACCGCCTCCGCCGCCGCCGCCGCCGCCGCCGCCGCTGCCCGCCGCCGCCGCCCCCGCCGCGCCGCCGCCGCCGCCGCCGCCGCGCGCCGCCGCCGCCGCCCCGACTCCGCCCGCCGCCGCCGCCGCCGCCGCCGCCGCCGCCCCGCCGCCCGCCGCCCCCCGCTGCCTAACCGCCGCCGCGCGGCAGCCGCTGCGCACCGCCGCCGCCGCGCGCCCGCCGCCGCGCCGCCACGCCCCAGCCCCCGCCGCCCGCCGCCGCCGCCCTGGGGGGGGGGGCCGCCGCCGCCGCAGCCGCCGCCAGTGTACTCCTTTATTTTTTTTTTTGACAGGGATGTTGGTGGGCGCATCGGGGTTGGTTGCGCATGTTCCGATTTTGTTTGGAGGTGTTGTATTGTTGGTTTACAAGGGATGGTGGTGGGGTGTCGGCATGGACTCGGGTTGGCCCCCCGTCGCCTGGGGGAGGGGGTGTTTATTAATAGGGAACAATGATCAAGGCTCCCTCCCCGCCCGCAAGCCGTCTCGCTCACTCCCACCCGCCCTCCCGACACATACGTAGCACCCGAGCCTGGCCCAAGCCGCAGCATATTCAGCAGTCGTCTTCGGATGGGCAGCTACTGGGGGCGAATCCGCCGCCGCCGCCGCCGCCGCCCGCCGCCGCCGCCCCCGCCGCCGCCGTCCGCCGCCGCCGCCGCCGCCGCCGCCGCCTACGAGCAGCTGTCCGCCCGCTGCCGGACCCGCCAGCGCGCCCTGCCGCCGCCGCCGCCGTCGCCGCCCCCCTCTGCCAAATCGCCGCCGCCGCAGCCGTCTGCCGCGCATCGCTGCCGCCACCGCTGGCCGCCGCCGCCGCCGCCAGCGCTGCCGCCGCCGCCGCCGCCGCCGCCGCCCCCGCCGCCGCCGCGGCCCCGCCCGCCGCCGCAGCCGCTGCCCCCGCCGCAGCCGCCGCAGCCGCCGCCGCCGCCAAGTGTACTCTGTTTTGTTTTTGACAAGGATGTTGGGGGGAGGCCGCATCGGGTTCGCTGCGCATGCTCCGAATTTGGAGGCAGAGTGTGTTTGTATGGTTTTTTTTTCCAAGCCACTATGTTCGCTACTCGACCCGTCTGTCTAGACCCGCCCCGTCCGCTCGCATTCTCCCGACCCCCGCTTTTTCCTTTTTTCCATCCCACGCCATTTCCCGAATCGAAATATGCCTCCCGTCCAACCCACCTCCCCCGGGAAGTAAGTCCCGCCATGGCTCTCACCCCCCCTTTCCGGTCACGCTCCAAAAGGACGGTGGGGGCAGGGTGTGTTTTGTTTTGTTTTGTTACAAGGGATGGTGGGGGGGGGCCCTCATGGACCCGAGCCAACCCAGTCGTGTGTGGGAGGGGGTGTATATTAACAAGGAAAAGTGACCAAAACACCTTCCTAGATAACAAGCCGGCTAGCTCACTCCCACCCGCCCTCCCAACACATACGTAACACCCGAGCCTCAGCATGTTCAGCGGTCGTCTTTGGATGGGCAGCTATTGGGAACCCAAACCGAGCTCATGTGCGCGACGCTGGGGTGAGGTGCGCCACGCGTGCCAGGCGCGCCACGCGCGCCAGGCACCCTTGGGGCCCGAGCGTGCCAGGCACGCCTGGTGCGCCAGATGCGCCACGTGACCCCGCGTGAGCCAGATGTGTCGCATACTGCAGCCGCGCCCGGTGCGCTGTGTTCGGGGCACGTGCAGAGTGCGTCAGGTGCTCCTACGCACGTGACAACACGCATCGGGAAACATGTCGGCCCCCACGATCCTTGTCGAAAACCAAAGCCCATCAAGTGTCTGGTGGGCTTGCGCACAGCAGGCCATACGCCACCACCCCCGCCGTCCCTGTCAAAACCACTTGGCAGTGATCGCTGGGTGGCCGCGCGCGATTCAGATTTAGCCGCGAGGTGAATTTTGTATTGTTCTTGTCAGGGATGGTAGCCCTGCGCACAGCACTTCGCCCCAACGTGTATGTTGTATTGTTTTTTGACTGGGATGGTGTGGGCGGGCGCATCGGGTTGGTTGCGCACGGTCTGAATTTGAGGCAGATTGGGTTTCGCATTCTTTTTTGACAAGGATGGTTGGGGGGGTCCTCATGGGGTCCTCATTGTTTCTGGTTGGCTGTCAGTCGCATGGGGAGGGTTATATTAATCGGGAACACTGATAAACTCCCACGAAGGAGAAGAGGGAGGGGTTGGAAGAGACTCTGCTCAGGACCACCTACGTCCATAGGGCTGGTGGGATTCGAGACGCTTCGCGTAACCCACAAGCCCATCCAGAAACGATGCCCAGACGAGTTGCCCTGATCAGGGATGCGGAGTAGAATGCAGTGTAAGAACGGGTTGGGTAAGACGTCGTACCCCAAGAGGGGAAGGATGGAGGAGGAATTGGAGGAGGAGGGATGAGCGGAGGAGGGGGAGGAGGAGGAGGAGGAGGAGAAGGAGGAGGAGGAGGCGGAGGAGGAGGAGGAGGCGGAGGAGGAGGAGGAGGAGGAGGATGGGGAGGAGGAGAAGGGTGAGGGGGAGGAGATGGAAGGGGAGGAGGAGGCGGAAGAGGAGGAGGAGGAGGAGAAGGAGGAGGCGGAGGAGGACGATGAGGAGGGGGAGGAGGAGGCGGAGGAGGAGGGGGAGAGGGAGGGGGAGGGGGAGGAGGATGATGATTAGGAGGAGGTTGGGGAGGGGGAGGAGGCGGAGGAGGATGAGGAGGATGATAAGGAGGATGAGGAGGATGATGAGGAGGAGGCGGAGGAGGAGGAGGATGAGGAGGATGCGTAAGCGGATGATGATGATGCTGATGAGGATGCTGATGATGATGATGATGATGCTGCTGCTGATGATGATGATGATGCTGATTATGATGATGCTGATGCTGATGAGGATGGTGATGATTCTGATGATGCTGATGAGGATGCTGATGAGGATGATGATGCTGATGGTGATGATGATGCTGATGCTGATGAGGACGATGCTGATGATGATGCGGATGGTGCTGATGATGATGCTGATGGCGGTGAAGATGAGGCCATTGCTGCTGATGCGGATGATGATGATGATGATGATGCTGCTGATGATGATGATGATGATGATAAAGATGCTGCTGCTGCTGCTGATGATGATGATGATGATGCTGCTGATGATGATGCTGATGATGCTGCTGATGATGATGATGATGATGCTGATGATGATGATGATGATGATGCTGATGATGATGATGATGATGATGATGATGATGATGATGATGCTGACGCTGACTATGATGGTGCTGCTACGGATGATGATGCTGATGATGCTGATGATGCTGATGATGCTGATGCTGATGATGCTGATGATGCTGATGTGGAGGAGGAGGCGGATGAGGAGCAGGATGATAATGATGAGGATGAGGAGGAAGCGGAGGAGGAGGAGGAGGATGAGGAGGGGGAGGACGAGGAGGAGGAGGCGGAGGAGGAGGAGGAACAGGAGGAGGAGGCAGAAGAGGAGGAGGAGGAGGAGGAGGAGGAGGAGGAGGAGGAGGAGGAGTACTCATAAGAATTATAGTGGCAACCATACTAGTAAGCAGCATACGAGGAACAACCATGATAAGACTAATAAGACGAATACGCATACTAACAATCGTAATAATGATACTCGTAATATTAGAACTAATATTATTCATACCAATCACATGAATACTATTAATACGAAGAAGAGCACTACTATTAATAAAATTACGTATACAAATAAGAAAACTATTTAGAAGAAGCATCGTAATCATAATCATACGAAGAGGAGGAGGAGGCGGAGGAGGACACGGGCGAGCAGACGAGTCAGAAGCCTATTGAATGCTTCTCGGGGTCTCCTCGGATGTCGCTTGGACGCTTTTTGGAGGCCTCTTGGGGCGTGTTGGGGGGGCATCTTGGCGGGCCCAGGGGCCTCTTGTCTTTGGTGCCTCGGGGATCCTCTTAGGGCCTCGTGGGGGGTCTCTTGGGAGCCTCTTGGAGGCCTCTTGGGCGCCTCTTGGGGCCTCCTTGGCGCCTCTTGGGCCCTCTTGATGCGCGTTTGGGAGCCCTGGGAGCGCTTTGGGGGCCATCTTGGAGGAGATCGATCAAAAACAAATGGGAGCTCTACGGGGAGCTCTAATTACGACCCTCCCATCTGGAGTCCCAACAATCGCCTCCTGGACCCTTCTTGGGCTCCTCTTGGAGCGCTCTTGGGCGCTGTTGGGGCCGTCTTGGGGCTCTCTTGGGCCTCTCTTGGAGCTGTGTTGAGGTCTCGGGAGGCCATCGGAAGCGAAACGGCGCGAAGGCACACATCATGGATTTTCTGCAGATGTTTGAATATGTTTGACCTCTTGGCGGCCTCCTGGGGAGGGTCCGTGGCCACTCGGAGCCGTCTTGGAGCGCTCTCGGGGCCTCTTGGAGGAGATCGGTCAAACAAGATGGGAGCTCTAATTACGACCCCCCCCTCGGGAGCCCCGACAATCGCCTCTTGGACCCGTCTTGGACCCCGGAGCGCTGTTGGGCGCTCTTGGGGCCGTCTTGGAGGTCTCTTGGGCCTCTCTTGGGGCCCTCAGGGGCCCTCTTGGGGCTGTCCTGAGGCCTCGGAAGGCCATCGGAAGCGAAAAATGCGAGAAGGCAAAACTCATGGATTTCCCAGAGGTTTTTGAAGGATTTGGGCCTCTTGGCGGCCTCCAGGAGGAGCTCTCGGGCTATTTGGACACGTCTTGGAGCAGTCTTGAGGCTTCATGGAGCATAGTGGAAGCCATCTCGAGCCATTTAGAAGCATCTTGAGCCATCTTGGAGGCCATCTTAGATTCTCCGAGGCCCTCTTGGAGCCGTCTTGGGACGTCCCGGATACTCCAACGCGTCGCGGGCCCCCCCGTCCAGGTCCAGGGGAGGTGGCAGGGGGAGGGGTAGGCCCCTCCCCGAAAGGGGAAGAAGGGGGTTGGAAGAGAAAGCTCCCTAGACCACCTACGCCCTCAAAGGGCTGGTGGGATTCCGCCCCCGGTGCCCTGCCGCGCCGTGCTGCGCCGCGAGCTGCCGTTCGCTGCCGCGCCGTGCCTCGCGGCCGTGTGCTCTGCCGTGTCGGCCTTTCCTCTTCGGGTGGCTCTGGAGATGGGTCCGTGCCTGGCGGCGTGTCGCACGGTCTGTCGTGAGCAGCCGCTCGGAGCAGCTGTTCTGGTAGTTCGGGCCCGCAAGGCCGGGAAGCAGCTCTGCGAGGTTATTGTCGCTCAGAAGGACATTCCCGATGCAGAACGTAGCAGGCACATGGTTGATACAAGCCATACGTCGGAACTGACTGATTTGGTGCGGTGGAATCAAGTTGTTGTGGTGTAGTAGGCTCTCGGGGCAAGCGCTCGTCTGAATCTGTTTTGGCAAGCCCAGCCTCCCTCCCGTGGCGCTCGAGCCTCCAGAGGTCGGCTCGGTGCTGGTCAAGGGCGTCGAGTACACAAAGATGAGACTGATGCCAGGGCAGAAAGATGTGCCGGTCACCCTGAGACGGAAAGAGAAGGATGAACCTAACCAAGGCTCCCGTTTCTTCCTCCTGCTGCGTCCTCCTCGCCGTAGCAGGGCAGGACCATGACGAGGCCGCCGCCGTCAGGGACGACAGTGGCTGCAGACGGCGACGTCTATTACGCTGGAGGAGGAGGAGGAGGAGGAGGAGGAGGAGGAGGAGGAGGAGGAGGAGGAGGGGGAGACATACGGGGGGAGGAATCATTATAAAATGAGAAGGACCAGACACCAGATAATCAGAATGACGTCGACGACGACGACGAAAACGACGACGACAATGGCAACGACGACGACGGCGACGGCGACGGCGACGGCGACGGCGACGGCGACGGCGACGGCGACGGCGACGGCGACGGCGACGGCGACGACGACGACGGAGACGACGACGACAACGACGACGACGACGACGACGGAGACGACGACGACGACGACGACGACGACGACGACGACGACGACGACGACGACGACGACGACGACGACGACGACGACGACGACGACGACGACGACGACGACGACGACGATGGACGACGACAACGATGGACGACGACAACGATGGACGACGCCGACCGAGTCTCTGCGCACAGGTGCCCTGCTGGGCGGCGAGCCTGTGACCAGCTCCGCCGCCGAGCCCGCTGCGCTCGAGGCCAGCCGCCTCCGAGGCGCCAGTTCGCTGGCAAGGGTGGTGCCCCGCGCCCGCAGCACGATCCGACGGCCAGGCCCGCACGGCCCGAGCCGCCGTGCACGCGCGTCCTGCACGAAGGCTGGCCTGCCCAGCGGCTTGCTCCACCGCCGAGCCCGCTGCGCTCGAGGCTGGCCGCCTCTGAATGCAAGTGGCAGTCGAGGAGTGCGCAGGGCCCGCTACCTCGGGCGCCGACGCCTGGCGCCGGCGCTGGCGCCCCTGCGGCCGACCGCAACGGACGCCCCCGCGGCCGCCTTCGAACCAAGCCTCGGCTAGCAGTCGACCGCGCTGGGCCCGAAGGGGCAGTGCGTTGCGCGTGCAGGCCTGGCGGGCACGGCGTGCAGACGGCGCGCCCGCTCACGAGCCGCCAGCGTTGCCGGATAAACCGCCCTGCAGCATGTGCTGGACCGAGGTAGTCCCGCGGGCACTCGATGACCGCGCAAGAAACCACCGCAACCGGAAGTTATGGATGTTTCTTTAAAATGATTTTTTGTTGGTTGTTCTGTTGTCGCGGTTACTGTTGGCGCGTGCTTTGATTTCACATGTATCGCGTTCTCGTGGGGTTGCTTCATTGCCACTTGCAGAGCGTCTCCCGCAGACCTTCCCTTCGACGTGCTGGCGCGAGACCGAGTGGCGTGCCTGCGCGGCGCGGCCTGTTTAACACGACGCGCGTGCGCGCAGTTCAGAGGAGTTTACATTCGTAGCCGCCTGATTGTTGCGGCACCGCGCCATATTTTTTTTGCGCGGCGCGTAACGCTCTTTTCGGATGCCATTTGCGCGTGTTTTGCATGGGCGGATCGCCTTGGCGCAGCGATGCTTCGCGCGGCGTGGTTCGGCCGCTTTTGCGCGATGATGCGCCCGTGTGCGTGTGTGTTGTCAGAGCGGCTCTTGCGTGACGGCGTGTCCTGTAGCGATTACCATGCCGTTAAGTTTGTTCCTCGTGGGCACGCGGGCCCCCCGCCCCTTTTCCCTTCTTCGCGGCGTGCCAAATTGTTGGAGTGTCTATAAGTTTGTTTCGTTGGGCGCTTGCGCATGTGACTTTTTTTTTGGTGAGCATTGTTCATTTGTTGTCCACCTTTCGCGCGACCTCTTCTGGTTGATTTCCCCCTCGTCCACGCGGCGTCCACGCGCATTATGTTTTGATGGTGTTTTATTGCGCACGTCTCAAGGTGGAGGGCCCGGTCCGCTCGTGGAGGGCGCGACATTGTTGACAAATCATACGCGTCGCGCGGTTGTGGTAGAAACCGCGGCGCGTGCGTCATGCCGATCTGTTCGCGGCAAGTCCCGCGCACCGCGACCGCGCAGCACTCGGCGTGGCGAGTCTTCGAGCACCGCCACGAAAACCATAACGCGCGACATGTCGTCGCCCATAGCCTTGCAAGGGTCGCAACATGTGACGCGCTCTTCCGCGCCGCTTCGGGGCGCACTCCTTCGTCTACGTCGTCGCCCTCCCCCTTCCCACGTCCCCCATGTTGTCGCCCTCCCTTCTTCCATTTCGTTCTCCTTGTCTCATTATTGCGTCTCCTGGGGTTCTCACGTGGCACACATGGACAACATGTGGTATGTCATGGGTTACTGTCGGGTTGGCATGGGGGCCTCCTGGGACACTCTTGAGTCGTATATGGGGCTGCCTGGGACATTAGGGGCCCTCTTGGGCCGTCGTGAGTTGCCTGGGGGGTATCTTGGTGCCGTCTTGGGCCGCGTTCGCCTCCATGCTGGTTTTCTTGCTTTGCCTGGGTTGGGTCTTCGGTTACCCCCAACCCCACTAGCTCTGGTACCAGACCCCCCTTCCACTTCCAACAGGTCTTGGTGGGATGCCCCCCTTCCACGTCGACCAGACTTCCCAGCGGGCCCTCCTCCGGCGAGGTGGAGGGGGCCTCCACCAGACTTCCTCTGGTTCTCCTGGAGACCTCCCCCTGATCCCCCCGAGGGCTTGGGGAGGCCTTCCGGAGGCTTCCCTTGGTTTCCACAAGGTGTGGCGAGAGGCTTCCCACGGCCCCTGGGAGCACCAGGCGAGGCCTCCCCCAGGCTTCTGGGACGACCAGGGGAGGTCTCTGGGAGGCTTCCCCTGATTCACCTGGAAGCCTCCGATGAGAGTTCCCGCGGGGGGGAGGTCCCCTGTGGGAGGCTTTCGGGAGGACCATGGGAAGCTTCCAGGAGACCTCACCTGGTCCTCCACCAAGTTTCCCCCCAGCGGCCCGGGAGGACCAGGGGAGGTTTCCAGGGGGCCTCCCCTGGTCTTCCCGGAAGTTTCCCCTTGGAGGGAGCCCTGCCAGATTTCGAGGTCTGGGGGGGGCTCCCGGACCCTGGTCCTCGGGGAGGATTCCCAGCAGGCTTGCAAGGACCAGAAAAAGCTTCTGGGAGACCTCCCAGCCCCCTTCTGGAAGTTTGCGGGAGGCCCCCAAGAGGACCAGGGGAGGTCCCCCGGCGGTCTCCCCCCAGATTCCAGGAGGTCGTCAGGACACCGCTAGGAGGCTCACTCTTCGGGGCCCTGAGGCCAGTGGACCACCGGATGCAGTGCAACTACGGTGGCGACGGCAGCAGAATCGCGTTCAGCCATTTGCCGCGCGTTTCCAAGCTGGGTGGCTGGTTGGGGGCCTCCGACGGCCACGCCGGGACGTTTGAACTTTGGGTCTTTCCGCTCCAAGAAAGCATGGTGGACGTAAGGAAACTTCTGGTTCCTTACTAAATGCCCCCCGGGGGGCCTCGATGGTCCCAAAGTGCGAGACATCTGTCGATCCACCAAATTTAATAAGGAATTCCCGGGGTCCCAAGTAAGGTCCTTACTTGGGTGCCTGGCGGTCCCAGAATTCAGGGCCTTACTTGGGTCCTCGGCGGTCACAGGTCCCACAGGTTCCACAGGTCCCACGTGTCCCAGATGTCCCACAGGTCCCATAGGTCCCACGGGTCCCGCAGGTCTCGAAGGTCTCGCCGGTCCCGCAGGTCCCGCAGGTCCCGCAGGTCCCACAGGCCGCACAGGTGCCACAGGTGCCACAGGTCCCGGAGGTCCCGCAGGTCCCGCAGGTCCCACAGGTCCCACAGGTCCCTCAGGCCCAACAGATCCCACCGGTCCCAAGGTCTTGCAGGTGTCACAGGTCCCGCAGGTCCCACAGGTCCCACAGGTCCTACAGGTCTTACAGGTCCCACAGGACCCACAAGTCGCAAAGAAGGTGCCAAAGGTCCCACAGGTCTCGCAGGTCCTACAGGTCCCACACGTCCCACAGGTCCCAAGGGTCCCACAGGCCTCGCGGGCCCCACAGGTCCCACAGGCCCCACAGGTCCCACATGTTTCACATGTCCCATAGGTTCCGCAGGTTCCGCAGGTTCCGCGTGTCGCGCAGGTCTCGCAGGTCCTGCAGGCCCCGCAGGCCCCGCAGGTCCCGCAGGTCCCACTGGGTCCCACAGGCCCCACAGGTCCTACAGGTCCCACAAGCCCCACAGGTCCCGCAGGCCCCACAGGATCCACAGGGTCCGTATTTCCCACAGGTCTCGCAGGTCGCGCAGGACCCGCCAGTCCCGCATACTCCATAGGCCCCGCAGGCCCCGCAGGTCCCACAGGTCCCACATGCAGGTCCCGCACGTCCCACAGGTTCCGCAGGCCCCACGGGTCTTACAGGTTTTAAAGGTCTCGCAGGTCCCGCATGTCCCGCAATTCCCACAGGTCCCGTAGGTCCCAGAGGACCCATAGGTCCAACAGGTCCCACAGGACCCGCAGGTCCCGCAGGTCCGCAGGTGCCACAGGTCCCACAGGTATGAATGACCCCACAGGTTTCACAGGTTCTCGCAGGTCCACCGGTCGCACATGTCCCGCAGGTCCCGCAGCTCTCACAGGTCCCACAGGTTCCGCAGGTCTCCCAGGTCCCTCAGGTCCCACAGGTCCCACAGGCCCCCCGGGTCCCACAGGTCCCGCAGGTCCGACAGGTCCCGCCGCCAGCACAGGTCCCACGAGTCCCACAAGTCCCGCAGGTCGCGCAGGTCCCACAAATCCCGCAGGCCCAGCATATCCCACATGTCCCACAAGTCCCACATGCCCCACATGTCCCACAGGTCCTACAAGTCCCGCAAGCCCCGCAGGCCTCGTAGGTCTGGCAAGTCCCGCAGGCCCCGCAAGTCCCAGTCCCCCCAGGTCCCACATGCCCCGAAGGCCCCACAGGTCCCACAGGCCCGATAGGGCTTACAGGTCCTACAAGGGCCACGGGGTCCGCAGGTCCCGCAGGTTCCGCAGGACCCGCAGGTCCCACAGGTTTCGCAGGTCGCGCAGGTCCCGCATGTCCCACACGTCCCACAGGCGACGCATGCCCCACAGGCCCCTCAGGCCCTACAGGTCCCACAGGC